GGTCTCACCCCATCTGGAGCAAGAGAGAATGAAGAAAACCAAAGACACAAGGGAAAGATTAGTCCAAAGGACTAATGGACCACAACTACCACAGCATCTACCAGACTGATTCCAGCACAACTAGATGGTACCCGGCTACCACCATCAACTGCTCTGACAGGGATCACAATAGAGGATTCTGGACAGAGCTGGAGAAAAATGTAGAACAAAACTCTAATTCACCAAAAAAAAAAAGAGACCAGACTTACTGGTCTGACAGAGACTGGAGAAACCCCGAGAGCATGGCCCTGAACACCCTTTTAGCTCAGTAATGAAGTCACTCCTGAGGTTCACCCTTCAGCCAAAGATTAGACAGGCCCATAAAACAAAATGAGACTAATGGGGCACACCAGGCCGGGGGCAAGGACTAGAAGGCAGGAGGGGACAGGAAAGCTGGTAATGGAGAACCTAATGTCAAGAAAGGGAGAGTGTTGACATGTCGTGGGGTTGACAACCAATGTCACAGAACGGTATGTATATTAATTATTTAATGAGAAGCTAGTTTGCTCTGTAAACCTTCATCTAAAGTACAATAAAAAAAAGAAAATAGAAAAACAGTAGAATTAATTTATGATGTTAAAATATGATTCTTTAAAAAAAAAAAAGCAGAACTCTTAGAAAGAGCAAAGGATGTAATGGTTCTAACTAGTCTTTTCTGATTGTTTTCCTCCTGCTTTGCCTGCACCCAGGGACAGATTACCCAGCAAGAAGTGATGAAAAACAAGTGAAATTGTCCACTGCAGATTAGTCCATAAACACAATTAAGTCCATGGGCATCTACCTCGAAAAAAAAAGTTTATGATTTGAAAGGTATCTAATATGGCTACTGACTAAAATACAATATGTTTTAACATTACCAAAGTGTTGTAAGAAAATAGTTTCTACATTTCACTAGTAATTTCAATGAAGCTTAAAGCAAAGTGGAATTTATTATCTGGCTACCCACATCTTAATGGTATATGTTGCAGCTATGATTCGCTACAAAGAAGGAAAATTCTCTAAATTGTTTTTGATGAAATATCTGTCCCTGCCTTTCTGAGTGTTTACTGACAAGAATTTCCTGACTAATAGCTTTAGTGACTGACCATGAATTTTTCTCTCCTGTGCTCCAAGAACATTACGTATTCCTTTCTGCCTTTGGATCCAAAAGAGAAATATTTTAAAAATATATATATTTAGGTGTATTTTTCCATTATTTTTGGCTTTGGATTTTAAATCAATTTGAAACAGGAAGAGTCTCACTCTGCTGCTGAAATCTTTATTCCTTAGGCACAAAAGTGTTGGTTTACCACCTAAACTCACTTTTCTGTGAAACTCTCTTGAATCAGGTAGGTCCCTGAATCGAGGGAGGAAGAAGTGAGGAAAAGGACTGGCTGGGATGTAAAACACTTTTGTCGGCAGGTCTGTCGCTTTGTTATCTCATAGAAAACCTGGTTTAGGAAACTGGTTATAAAAACAGAAATATATTTTAAAGGAAACAAAATGAAAATTCTGTAAATGTGTTTCATTTTAAGAGAAGTATCAGGAAAAATAGAAAAATGAATCAGGAATTAAAAGTTGCATTGAAGAAATTATAGAAAATGCAAGAAAAATTAAAAAGATAATTAGTTCCAACTGAGATAAAATAACAGTGATAAAGATGTGGAAAATGTGGAAGATTTACATATGAAAACAAGTCTTAATACACAATTAGCATGTTGATCACTGTTTGCCCAGTTTCTCAATTACCATTCTCTTAATTTCTATTTTGAAGTCTGAAATATGATCCATATTCTTAAATACTATTAAACATACACATTAAGTTTGTGTTTGTCCATGATCTTGAATACTACATACTTGTGTTTTAAATGTGACCCATGGACTATGTGGAGAGAGATGTATGGGGATACATTTGAAATGTCATAAAAGTTTGCATTTGGAAATATGTATAAAGATTCTGTTAGTCTATAGATGATTCCCATGTTGATTATTTATTAGATGTGTATGGGCTCTCTATTTCAGAGATGATGTATACAATGAAGAAAGAATATGTGTTTTGGGCCTCTGTATGTCTGCTGCTTAGTCGTGCCCCTGCCCCTCTTAAGGCTGGTTCTGAGGAAGGAGCAAAACTTACAAACCTTACAGGTAAATGTTAGAGGCATTAATCTTTTTAAACTATTCAAATATTGTTAAAATCCAAAATTTAATTTATATTTTTTCATTGTGTATGAAAATTAATTTTCATAGAAGTGACATTTTTCTTGGGAAACTTCTTATATCTAACACATTAAAAAAAAAAAAAAAAGCTTAGTCCATAAAAAGTTACCTTAGCAATATAGCAAAAGCTTTTATTCTTAACTCAGAATATAATATTAAACCCTGGAGTAGCTCTGGGAATATCATGCTGCAAGCAGCTAAATGTAGAAATTCCTTAATCCTCCTTTAAACTAACAACTCTGTATGAGCTTCTGTGAACTCTGGCTGGCAAGAAAGTGTGACAATGAAAAGGGAACTACAGACATCGATGTTTCAGCGTTCTCTTCTCCTCATTCTTATTTCCAAAATAAAAACTTCCCACATGAGCCCACTGTGAGAATCTAGTCAGATACAACACCAGGGGATCTCAGAAATAGCAGTAGTTCCAATCCCATAAAGTTCTGTCTCTATAAATGAAGATATTAAGAAGAAAAAAAGAAGAGAAGATCATACAGTGATAAGTATTGCAGATTTATATCTTTCTTAAAGATTATATTCTGTCACACATTAGTTAATTATTGATAGAAATCACAAGTTATTACTAACAGAGAAATTAACAAAATGATAGCTTCTATTTGTATAGCAGTTTCCAAAATTCTTTGTCATCTTTAACAGTTCTTTAAAGTAACTGTGTTCAGTGTAGCTCCCTTTGATAAAGATTGAATAAGTACATCTTATGTGCAAGAGACTGTGGTAAATGCTAAGGAAACAGTAATGACTGGAACCAGGTTTTGAGGATCTTGAAGTTTCGTTGGGAAGACTGAAGTGTAGACAGGTTATTTCGGTATATGTGGTAAATGAAGTGATGAGGCATGCATAGGATGCTGCTGATGGAGCGTAGAGGAGGGAGACTCATCCAAGTTTGGCCATCTGAGATCTTGGCATGGTAAGTTCTGTGATGAAAAGCTTCCTAGAGATAGACCATTATTGAATAGAGTAAACATCATCATGTGCGCTTTGGAAATAGGAATTTGGACATCAGGAGATGAGCTCCAGTCCTTCATTTGGTTCTTTTCTCAAAAGGGAGTGGGCTGAAGTTCATACTATGTTGGGTCAGGAGAGAAAGGATATGGAGGATAAAGTAAGGGAAAAAGAGGTAACCCCATCTTGAGAAGTGGGAAGAGAACAGGTCCACCTGTACCCAATATTGTCTCCATTTACTCTCCCTCAATCGGGCTGAGGAAATGCATGCCAGTTCATTAGCAGGCTCCTGATATCGTTACTGCCCCCAACCCACTGCCCATGGACTCAATTCCAACTCATAGCGACCCCGTAGGATTTCAGAGGCTGTATGGAAGCAGACTGCCACATCTTTCTCCTGCGGAGCTGCTAGTGGTTTCAAACCGCTGGCCTTTGGTTTGTAGTATATCGCTTTAACCACTGTGCCACCAGGGCTCCTTGTTACTGCCCCAGTAAGCCAATAAGCCAGAATTAACCCCGTCAATAATTAAGCCAAATTTTAAAATCCCTACACTGTTACTTCCAAACCCAGCTGAATAAGAAAGAACTTTGATTTTAAAGTTGGATTGAAGAACTCTTGGCTGACTAGCTGCACAGTCTTGCCTAGTTTTGTTTTGTTTGTTTACTTTTAATGAAAATATACACAACAAAACATACACTCATTCAAAAATCTTTGCAGGTACAGTTTAATGACAGTGGGCGCATAGTCGACAGTGTGTCTCCATTCCCACTATCTCTGCCCATATTGTTTCACCACCGTTAACTATTAAAGCTCTCTGCCCGTTAAAATGCTCAGAGTTCTCATCTGTGCTTTAGAGTTACCAATTGTCAATTTGATCTCATCTAGATAATTCTTCAAAAGTGCACAAAGCGCAAGGCAAACATTCTTTATTAATTGAACAAAATGATTGTTTAAAGATGATTTCATGGGACAGTTTCAGTTCAAAGTTTAAATGTTGTTTCCAGGCAATAGATTTGGGAGTTCACCAATCACAATGCATCCAGGAAGTCTGATTTTAATAAGAATTGAAGTTCTGTTCCACTTTTTTTCCTCCTTTTAATCAAGATCCATCTCTTGGGTCCTTGGTCAAAATGTTCAGTAGTAATAACCATGCACCATTCATTTCTTCCGATCTCATGAAAGCTAATACTTAGTATTTTATTAAGTAAATTGCTATAAAATTAGTATCTACTTTCATCGTTGAAACCATTTTTAGTTTTAACAAAGTGAATTTCAGAAAAAATGTTATTGAGTAGGAACTTATATAATTAAATCTATGTGCTTCGACCCAAATGCCAATTTAGGAATCTCAGTCTCACAAATCTGTGACAACATCTCACAATTGTTGAGAATGTGAGAAAGAACCGGTGTAAAATTATGTGGGGGGTTAATTCTAAGCAGGTTTGACCGGGGGGAATTTACTTGATCTCAGCAATCCTATTTTCCAATTCGTAAAATAATATAGTAATAATGCCTAACACACAAGATTATTGTGGTAATTAAGTTATATAATGACAAAGTGTCTGGAGCATAGTAATTACTCGGTAGACAGCGGTTAGCTGTTATTTTTATTGTAATTATTACTACCACGCGTTGTGATCTTTCGTTTTCGTGGTGCACTGCTACCATCTGGTGGCAAACTCTTAAATAGCAAGTTCAGCTTCCGCTGAGTATCCTTAATATTAAAAATATAAAAGATGTAGCATGGTGACAAGGACTATCAAATACATTAAGAGCAAAAAAGTAGAAGTATTATCAGTGATCTAGAGGCTGACAAACTATTTATAAGAAATAGTCTTTTCTGAATATATATGGCAATTCAGGTATGAAATTCAGGCAAAGTGTTAGGTAACGTTCCCTGTGTTCTACAGGTGTGGATCTTCATTAAAGGAACCTAGCTGGTGTCTCTAAAATTCTAAGGTGACATTAACTTGGGAATGAGTACCATCAGTTTGAGAGGTGTGCTAGGAACTCTGAGATAATGTATATAGCTATAAGATTCAAAATATCAGAATATTTTTATTACTAGGTCACTTCTCAAAATTCATTAGGTGAATGCTGAGATGCACTCTCAGATATTTACGGAACTAACAGGTCAATATTTTATCAGTCCAGGAAAATATATCTAGACAATACAAGCTCATAGGGCTAATTTGATGATGTTTATTTTGGAATTGCTCTAAATCAGACTCAGGGCTTAGGGTCTTTTTTGTACAGCTTTCTGCCTTAAACAGCTTTTTAACAACTCAAAATGTTATTGTGATATTTTAAAATTCTTAAATAATTTTCTAAAAACTATAATCATAACGATGTTGTTGTCGTTAGCTACATTTGAGTCAGCCTAGACTCACAGCAACCATACTACTCAGAAAAAAAAAATCAGTGTTTTTTATTCAAATTGACAATTATAACTTCAGTGATGAAGGGACAAACATGTTTTTCATAAGTCATTTATTGTTATATGGAGATATTTATCTATTAAAATTATTTTCAGCAACCCTTTCAAATGCTATTAATTTACTAATTTCCATACAAAAAATATTTTTGTACATACTTTAATAAAAATAGGGGATTTCAGAGAAGTGGAAATCCATTTAAGGAAAATGATAATTCTGAATTTTAGTTTGAAGTATTCATATTTTCTGGTGCCAGAAACTCTTGATATACCTTGAGGTATCTTCTAAAGCCAAAAATCACATTTCAGATATGCATTTTAGTGCATAAAAGTTAGGCAAATAATTTGAAAGAAAAATAAATTACATTTATACTTAAAATTATTAATCAGTAATGATAAATTCATTTTAATAAAGTCATATATATTATAGAGACATACATATATATTATAGACACTAATTGGTCATCATGGGAGAAGAGGTGACAGTCTGCTTCTGTAAAGATTTACACCCTTGGAAACCTTATGGTGCAGTTCTACTCTGTCCTACAATTTCACTACGAGTCAGAATCGACTCGATGGCAGTGGGTTTTTAGTTTTGAAATTGGCCATAGGAATACTCTGTCATCAGTGTAAAAATTATTTTTAAAATGTTACATTACTAAAATCATGTTTTGTCAATTGAACACAATCTCAGAGAAAGTTGAAAACACACATGTACATACATATATACACCTGCACAAAATTAAAATTCATGTAATGGTTTGATCAGTGTTGTAACTTACTCACTATCTAGTTCATGACAACTGTGTTTGGTGCTGAGTGTTTCCTTGCCTTTTGCAGATATGAGTCTATGTGTCATAATAAATCTTTGTCATATGTTATACCTTATAAAATTAGTGGTCTGAAAAACTTAGTGTTCTGTCCTTTCCATACGTAGGCTTAATTTACTTCAGTTGAAGAAAATAATTCATTAATTGAAAAGATCAAATCAGTGAGATAGTATTTTATAGATTAAACTAAAATTTCATTAAACTAAAAGTTATGTTAGTGGTTTCAAGTTCACATTTTCTTAAATGATTAGTGTCAAATAAAGCAACAACAACAACAAAAAAAAAACCCAAACCCATTGCCATGGAGAGGATTCTGACTCACAGTGAGCCTATAGTACAGAGAAGAACTGCCCCATCAGTTTCCAAGGTTTTAAATCTTTATGGAAGCAAACTGCCACATCTTTCTCCTGTGGAGCAGCTAGTGGGTTTGAACTACAGACCTTTCGGTTAGCAGTCAACCACTTTAACCACTGCACCACCAAAGATCCTTCAAATGAAGCAAGCAGCATGATAATATGAATTTATCTTAGAAAGCTATATTTCAACCCTTCCAATATTGAAAGGAATAATATCTAACATTTTACAACTCATAAAAAATTAACAGTGATACTCCAATTACTTTATTATAATGAGTTTTAACATTACTGAAATATTGCTAATACTTGATATTAGGTCAATATAGATTATTAGAATAATAAAATATTAGGAGTGGAAGAGACTTGATAAAACCATCTAATGCAACTTTTATGCAATGTGTTTTTAAAAAACCCTGTAAGTTTTGAAATTAGAGGAAACTTAAAATCTGTTTTCTTCTAGATATGTTTGCATCTGCAAACTTACACTTCATTTCATCTTTAAAAATACATTTTATGTGAAAAATTAAAGTGACATCCATTCATGTTTCTTTGTTCAAAGTAAATTATATTTATAGCACATTGACGATAATTTTATCTTTAATACTACTCTAATAGGCTTTGGGGCCCTGGTTGTGCAGAGGTTAAGATGTCGGCTGCTAACCAGAAAGTTGGTAGTTTGAATCTACCAGCCACTCCTTGGAAACACTATGGGGCAAGTCTGCTCTGTCCTACAGGGTCACTTGAGTCCACAGCAACAGGTTTGGTTTTTTTTTAAATCAACTTTAATTCAGAACACTCTGCCCTCCTGAGGGCAAATTAGTTTTGGTCACATTAAGGTTTCAAAATACAGTATTAGATGGCATTTTCCAGTCTTAGTATATTCATGGCACCAACCACAAGTGTTCACTGTCTTACTTCTGGATTCTGTAAACAAATTCAGCTTATGTAAAGTTAAGCCCCTATTAATAACACTGAACTTGATAAAAATGTGTGAGTCCCTTCCCAAGACAGAGACTTTTTCTTATTAATTTCTGTAGAAAACAGAAATTTTTCTATTAAAATAAGTGACTGAATATTTAGGGAGAAAATAGTTTTTATAACTAATGGTAAAAAAAAAATTCCTAATTGTATTTTAAGGGATGCTGGTGGCGCAACAGTTAAGCACTCAACTGCTAACGGGTTAGTGGTTCAAACCCACCCAGCGGCTCAACAGGAAAAAGACCTGGCAATTTGCTTCCATAAAGATTACAGCCTAGAAAATCCTATGGGGCAGTTCTAATCTGTCACATAGGGTTGCTATGAGTCAAAAATCGACTCAACAGCACCTAATAACAACAGCAATGACAATTCTATTTTAAAAGATTCAGAAAGAATAGGTTAAGTTCTTCAAGATTTTAAAAAATTGATTGAAATGGTAAAAAAAAAGAATGTTTCAAGCAGTATTTTTGAAAATATCAAACACTTAAGTCTTCATAATTAGGAATTGGTTTAATATAGCATGATCTACGTATATGTGTGTGTGTGTGTATATATCTATATATATAAAAGCAATGTGTAAAACGATATGGATAGCTTTCTCTCATAGACATGAGTGTAAGAGGTGACCACTTAGTACCTAGTACCAGGTTGGGAGAGTGTTGGACAGAGCATTATGTACCTGCAGGTACGGGATAACTCATGAGACATGGGAAAGAAATGCACTCCTGCTGTCCATGTGGTGTGAGAGAAGAAGGCATTTGAAATCTTTGCCACTCAGAACTCTGGGAATCACTGAAACCCAGTTCTTAAAGCAGGCTTAAAACTTTTCCGGTCTTGTTTCCCAGGAAATGCCTCATGCTCCCCGCAGCCTTCCTCACAAGGCTACGAGTGACCACCTGCACTGTCAGGGAGCTCACTATCTCACTTGTAGCTTGTTCTCTAGCGGGAAGAATGGAATTGGTGCAGGGCAAGACTGACTTACCAGTGGAATAAAATAGAAAGTTCAGAAATAGGTCCAAAAACATACGGGAAGTGAGTAGATGATAAAGCAGTCATCTCAAATCAGTGCAACAAAGACTTTTTAGTAAGAGTTTAATGACGGCTAAGGACCGTTTGAAAAAAGCCATGCCTCATAACGTACACAAGAATAATTCCAAACAAATAAAAGATTTAAATATAAGAAAATGAAACTATCAACATTATAGTATAAATTCATACACTATATACATATACTATATACCATATATACTATATACTATATATAGTATAAATTCACATGGGTGAATTTCTTTCAAACCTTGGAATGAGAATTTTTTTTGCCATAACTTAAATCTGGAAGTAATAAAAGAAAAAACAGATAAATTTGACTACATCAACTAAAACAAACACACAAACAAACAAAAAAAAAAACTGCATAGTAAAAACCACCAAAGGTAAAGTCAAAAGATAAATAAATGTCTTATTTCACTGAGCATAATGTTTTCAAATTTTATCTATGTTGTAGCCTATAAAAAAACAAAAAACAAACCCACTGCCATCAAGTGAATTTTGACTCATAGTGACCCTATAGGACAGAGCAGAACTGCCCAAAAGGATTCCCAAGGAGCGGCTGGTGGATTTGAACTGCCAACCTTTCTGCCGTAGCTCACTGTAGCTCTTAGCAACCACACCACCAGGGTTCCGTTGTAGCCCATAGGAATGGAGAATTATGGTTTTATGGGTACAGAGTTTCTTCTTGATGAAGTTTTGGAAACAAATAGTGATGGTTACACAACATTGTGAGTGTGATTAACAAAAATGGTTGAAATTCAAATTTTACGTTGTGTATAGTTTACCACAATTAAAAAAAAAAGACAAATGACAAGCTGGAAAAACTATTTGCAACTCAGAATATAACACAGAAAATGAAATAATTCCTAAAGTGTTCACAGAAATTGAAAGAAAAAGACCAACACACCAACAGAAAAATGGGCAAAGGTCAGTGACTAACAATTCCTAGCAACATGAATAACCTCAGTCACATAAAAAGGTTATTTAACTTCATTCATGACAACAAAAATGAGAATTTAAACTACACCAAAAATAATTTCTCTCCAATGATACTGATAAAAAAATGTTAAAGTTTGAATTGTATATGAGGCCATGAGGAAATAGGCACTCACATACAATGTGAATGGGAGAGCAGAATGTACAGCTGCTATGAAGGGGAATATGGCAACATTGAACAATATTACAGATGCCATTTCCCCTTGACTGAGTGAACCATCTTTCACAAATCTAATCTGCAGATACTCCTGCAGGAGTAAGAAATGACATATATGCAGTATCATTCACTGCACCTTTATTTGTAATAACTAAAGATTATAAGGAAAAGATCATTGTGTTATAAACTTGGTACATCCAAACAATACAATACTATGCAGCCATACAAAATCATGGGGAAGAACTCAATCTACTCATGTGGGGAAATGGCTAAGTTTTTTTTAAGTGAAAGAACATTGTGCAGAAATATATATCATGTGTTACCTTTTATATAAGAAAGGGATGTGTACATATATATACATTCATATATATGCATGCATACATATTCATGTATTTGCATAAAGAAGTACAAGAAAGATAAATAATAAATAAATAAATATGGTTACCTATAAGGGAGGAGGAAAGGCATGGGAGATCATGGGTGGAATTTAGAATGTGTGTAGTCTCTTATAGTTTTGAATCTCGAATCACGTAAATGTTACACATACATTTTCAAAATTTTATTAAAATAGTCTAAATAGAGTTGCCATTAGTAGGAGCACAAATCGTTAGTCTATGGTGCTCAGGTAAATACCTTGATGTACCAGAGAAGGGTAAATCCAAATTTCTGTTTTTCTTATTTCTGTTATAGCAGTGGATTAGAAATCCCTTGAAATTTCGCCAATGGTGTAGCCAAATGAATGAATATACTGTTGTTTTTTGAGTTGTTTTATTTGTAAAATAGTGACATAACTATAAATTAGGGAGAGTAACTCAAAGAATTGTCCACTGACATCTGCCTCTAAAAACTGCTTAATTAAAAGAAGATATCTTTACTATATTTGTAGCATCATCACATCCATTTGAATGAAATTGCCTTCATTTGAATGAGATTGGCTTACATCTAATCCTACCCAATTCCATCTCAGTCAGCTTGTGCAGATTTAAGCAAAGCCTAATAACAAGAGTCCAGAAAAATTATTCTATATTTTTCCTTGAATATCACATTTTCATGCAAATAACGCATGCCTTTTATGTTTGTTTGCCAACGACACCCTCTCCCCGTGAGGTATTTTCATAAGCACACTACCCTAATTTCTTTTTTTTTTTTTTACTGCAACATGTTAAAAAAATTGGCATGGGGCACTTATGAAAATACCTCTCAGGTGGAGGACAGATTTGGCAAACAAATGTAGAAGGTGCACATCATTTGTGTAAAAACATGGTAGTTGATTAACATGGTAAAACTTGTCTCACTTGGCGAATTTATTAATTTTATCTACCATTTTAATAACTTTGAATAACTTTTCATAGTTTCTTATCTGCCTAAGTTTTATTGTTGTGTACTTTTTTCTTAAAATTAGGACATTATTAAAAAGGACATGCAAAGGAATTAAAATACATTATTACAGTATTAATGAAGGATTATATGTTATGTCTTATTTTTACTTTGTAGATATTAAGTTGCCACCACTGAAACTTATAAATTCATTTTGTGCACTGAAGGCGGATGATGGCCCATGCAGAGCAATGATGAAGAGATTTTTTTTCAATATTCACACTCAACAGTGTGAAGAATTTGTATATGGGGGATGTGAGGGAAATCAGAATCGATTTGAAAGTCTGGAAGAGTGCAAAGAAAAGTGTACAAGAGGTAGGTTTCTCAGAACACCTGTCACTCAAGAGTCAGGGTTATTACGTCTTATCATAGATTTGATAATTTTAGAATAAATAATTTAATATTGTTTTAACATTCCAAGAAATCCCATTGTTCAGATGCTCAGCTTTCATGTTCAATGATTGTTTTTCATTGTTTCATAGCAGTCATTATAAAATCTATTTATTGCCCTATATTCTTCTCCATAGTGAAGCAGGAAGATAAAACCTCAAGTCTTCAGAACAAGGTTTATGTCTGCAGTGAAGTGAATGTAATTCAGACCCCCTGGGAAGCTATGAGTTTGCAGGAAAGAAATTGTTAGTCACGTTGACTTAGTCTTTCTCAACACAAAGATCTGCTATTAGTCCTCTGTCAATATGATGAATTTGAGAATTCATTTTGAGGCTCCCAATAGCTACTAATTGCAAAACTCAAAGCTGTATCAAAAAGTAGAAAGGCATATATGGAATTTAAGTCACTCTTGGAACCTTGCAATACTGTAGAAAAGAAAATATCTTCCCCGCTGGCACATGTAGATTTTACTAACCCAACTTTTCTTTTGATATTAATGTTGCTAAGTTATAAAATTTAAAAGTATATCATAATATTCCAAACTATTAAACCTTATTGGGCACTTTTAAAAATAAAAAATAACATTACAAAGTTACATGTAGTTTTAGCTCATTTCCTGAATTATCACTGGGATAAATGTAAAATAATGATGGGTTAAAAAATTTAAATATTTTTTAATTTCAGTTTTGTTCCTCTGAATTGTGATCCACTTGAGGGATAGAACAATCAGAATCATCTTTATTTCCCCCATTTCTAGCCCCATATTGCCCTCATAACAGTGTTCTCAGACTGGGTGAATTGAACTGAAGTGCTTTGGAGATGGTATCATTTGTTAGTAACACTAGGTGTCTTGTTTTTCACAAAGCAGGCAGCTCTGCATTCTCATTCTAATAATGCTTTCCAACATAGCTTTTACAGAATAGCCTTGGCCTGTGGGAAATTCTCAATGTGGTGAAAAGAGGAAACTTCTCTCCTCTGTGGCCCTGTGAGATGCTTTGTTGTATCTTCCAGAGTTGACAGAAGAGAATAGATGTGAATATATTCCTTTACCCTCAGAGCATTTATTTCCCCCATTCCTCTCCATAGATGTCCTAGAAATGTTACTAACACAGGTTAGGCAACTCAGCGGACCTCAGTGGTGCTTTTGGTTTTTGTAATTTCCCCAGTTATTTTCCATTCACCACAGATTTCTATACTCCATTCTCTTCCATACATGTTGGGCCAAGTATTCTTTTGTGTTGAATTGAGAATTACTGTTAATGTTCAGAACCTTGGTTAGAGGCTTGGTTGCCTCATTCATTGCAAGTACTCACGTTTTCCTTTAGCAGCCTACTTACTTTCATCAACTAGTCTCGTCCCTGAAATACCTACCCTTTTTTATAATTCATATTTCTTAAATTTCATCATTGTACAAAAGTTATAATTTTCTTTAATAGTTCAACAAATATAACCATATAGCCCATAAGTAACTACCCTGTTTCTAACGTCTTCTAAAACATCATTACTGGCTAGCATATAAATGTTAGGTCTCTTGCCCCCATCTCCTCATTAATTCTTCAAAAGCCACTTATATTTTTATACGAATGTCCGAGTTTTATATAAGACTGCTAAGGATGTAGCTGGCATCTAGAAAAATACTACTAGGCTTTATATAAATCACCTAGAGAGAGAATTCTATTTTCAGCCATGAGAGATGAATTGGAACTGGACTTCCTCTCCCAACATAAAGACCTACAAAACTGGACATAGTATATGAAAAACTTGTTTGCAAATATTAATCAAAAGGTAGATCAGAATTGCGATTTCTGAGAGAATGGACACGAGGTGAGCTCTCCCAGCTTTCTGCATGGAGGCAATTCTGGACCACAGAGAAGGGAAGGGAACACAAGTACAGCATGATAGTCTCACTGAGTGGAGGAAATGGACATTAGGGAGGCTGAGGTGACTGGGGTTTGTGAGACAATGCACAAGAGAGGATGGACTTATGCCAAGAAAAAGCTCAGAAATCTTCGTGGGGTCCCTCTGAGTTTGTCACTGAATAATAAATTTTTTCATACATTGGGTGAAGTTGTTTAAGTTTGGGAAAATAAGTATCAGGAATTTGTAAACTGAACAATTCTCAGTGCCTCCACATGACTAGGACCAAATTAATCCTGGAGCAAAAAATACTCTAGACTTCCCTGAACCAAGCTTAAAAATAAACTTTATACACCACATTTTGTCTATGCAATGAAACATTATTCAGCCATAAAGATAAATGAAGTTCTGACATATGCTACAACAAGGATGAACCTCAGACACCAAAGGTCAAATATTGTAATAGTCCACTTATATGAGGTATCTAGAATAGGCAAATTCATTGAGACAGAAAGTAGGACAGAGGTTACAGGGGCTACGGAAAGTGGGGAATGGGAATTTATTGTTTAGTGGGTACAAAGTTTCTATTTGGAATGATGAAAAAGATCCGTACATGAATAGTGATGCTGGTTAAACAACATTGTGAAGGTACTTAATGCCACTGAATTGTGCATTTAAAATGGCTAAAATGGTAAATTTTATGATACGCATAGTTTACCACAATAATAAAAAAAAACTTGAAAAAATCCAGCTCATCCACATGTAACCACCTGCCAAAAGAGCCTTCAACATTTTTTAAAGGAAGACAATAAAATCCAGCTCCCAACGGCATGATATTTAAAAAATCCAGCATCCTTTTCCCTTTCCCCTCCCTGAAATACTAAATATTCAAAGCAGCAGCAAATTTTGACCCCTAAGAGAATAATTACTTTACTGAGACGCAAGTAACAGAGGTAATGGAATTAGAAGAAAAGGACTTTAAAATATCTACTGTGTATGTGCTTAAGAATTTAAAGGAAAACACAAACATAAGGAGAGAAGTGGAAGTTATAAAAGAAAACCAAATGGAACTTCTAGACCTGAGAAATATCTAAAATAAAATATTCCCAGATGGAATTAATAACCAGTTAGATATGGTCAGTGATAATAAAGACAAAGCAATAGAAACTGTCCAACATGAAACATAGTATTAAAAAAAAAAAAAAGACTAAGCAAATAAAAGATAACATAACCCCAGCAACCCATTATACAATATCAGGAAGTTGATCAAAATGTATAATTGGAGCCCTGGAAGTGGAGGGAGAAGAAATATCTGAAGAAATAATGACCAAAAATTATCCATATTGGATGAAAACTACGACTTGTTGATCCAAGAACCTTGACAAACTCCAAGAAGAATAAACATTAAGAATATGAAAAAGAAAAAAAGGGATATCATAGTCAAATTGTTGAAACCAGGGATAAAAAGTAAATCTTAAAAGATGCCAGAGAAAATATATATTAGATACAAGGAAGTAAAGACAAAGTGTCAGACAAAGGCCATTCAAGAAAAGAAAAGTGCAGACCTAATTTTCTTCATGAATATATAGTCAAAAAAACAACAGCAAATCAAATTCAGGATAGTATCAACAGATAACACATTATGACCAAATGTGGTTTATCCAAAGAATGCAAGGTTAGTTAAATATTTGAAATTGAATCTCCATATGAATTAAATGAGAAAAACCATCAACAGACACAAAAGAACAATGAAGAAAGTTAAACAACCATTCATAATAAAAAATTTACTCATGGATTAAAAATTGTCAGTCATACATAATGGTATTCTAAAATCTATTGTTTCCATCAGTTTGTGTTTATATCAGCTGAATTAATTCAGCTTGGACTGAAACAAGAAAAAACACAATAGACATATTCTTTAATATTGTATGAACACCAAAATCAAGCATTTTTATGTTCCTATCACACGGCTGCCATCAGTAGGCAAATCAGAGTGAGAATGACTGTTTTGCTCTTTAGTCTCATGTAACATTTACGTGTATACATTCCTTCCTTGCTCTTAGAAATTAAACACATAATATATTAGTTGTACATAAAAATATTTGAATGTATAATTATCATGACAAGACACTATCAAAAAACAGTTAAGGGTTGCTTTGTCACAATGCAAGAATAAAATATCAAGTTTCTTAAATATCTGAAATACAATTAGAGTAATCAAAATAAATTTTTAATATATTAAATGCTTTGGAAAAACTATCACATAAAACACAGTAAACTCAAAGGGGTGATTGCCCCATTGTATCCTCTTTCATATAAGTTTTACACTCCAAAGGATAACGAGATTGCTTTAAGAAGAAAGAATGATTCATTGGCTGAAAGGTCCGTAAGTCAAGTAATGTTGTGATCCCTCTCTCTCATACAACAAATTATAAGATGACTTAACCAAAGTTTTCTTTGTAAAACAAATAATTATAAACACACAAAAACAAATACCACTTCAACCTTCCTAGTGTTTACTTGAACAAATTAAAAGCTTTACATATTTATTATATCAATTTGAAAGTTATTTTCTATCATTTAATGTAGAGCATCGAATCCATACTTTAAACATTGTAGGACAAAGATAAGTAATAGTCTAGTTCTTAAAAGCGTAATTTCATTAATTCTCTGAAGTTAACCCAAATACTATTTCCCAGATGTCTTTTCCTTTGTTTCTCTTCTGCATCCAGTAATAAAAATACCTGTATTTGGGTTGAGTCAATGAGGCAGGGGAAGGAATTGGCAAAGAGGATAATTCTTAGTTCTTCTACCCCCTACTCCCAACCTCTATACAGATGATATGGTTTCATATGAAAAGTTGTTTGAATTACTTTCATATTTTACTTCATTCTAATCAACAACCATTTAAATTGTAGATATTTTGGAGAGGAAGCTTATTAGTTACCAATAATTCTTATATTTTTAAATGTGTTAGAAATGTTTAACATTGTTTTTGAGACATTATTATGTATTAAAATGTAGATCGTTTCAAAGTAACAAAAACTAGAACAATTTAATCTCTAGAGAAGAGGAAAATAAAGCTAATTTTACTTAAGAATTTTTTATAAGAGTAATTTTAATGATAATGAACAAATCTTCCCAGCTTATTTGTGTGTTAAATTGCAATTTATATTATTATTTTATAAATTGTGGTAATTAATATACATATATTGTTTTTCTTGCAGATTATCAAAAGATTATGAAGACAGCTTTGCAAAAAGGTGAACACTCACTTGTGCATTAATTAGTAGCATTTATGTAAGGCATCTCGGAATTCAATTCTTAAGCTTCTCTGGTACAGGGTTGATTACAAATCTATGTGATCTTTGATTAAGTTCAAAACAATGGAATAAATCAAGTGAATGGTGTTTCCCCCTCCAGTGGATATATTGGAAAATTAGAAATAAAATAATGATATCTGGGGGGAGGGAAGGCCCAAAACACCATATTAACTCTCATTCTAATGTAGCATGATGTTTAGTCAGATCATTTATAATGCAGAGCCACACACACACTATTTTAACATCTCACAGATAATGATTTAGATGTTGCTAGTCTTGCTTTAGTTCTCAAATCCAAATCCCTTCATAATCTCAGCTTTAGAAAGGTTCACGTCTAATTTTTCCCTGAAAGGGATGTGTATGTTTTGAGTTGTCGACAGTTACGTAAGCAAAGGTAACTAGAGGAGTTTAACAATAAATAATCACTTTTGTGAACATTATTTAGTGAGTGTGTGTGTGCGCGTTTTTATTTTGTGATTTAAATAGTTTTATTAGGTTTAGAAATAAAAACAATAATTCTTGGTAAATACATTGTTTCAGCACAAGAAACACATTGCCAACAGATTAAGGAAGTGATGTCCCTTTTAATGAAGGTCTAGAAATTGATTTGGTCCAATTACTACTTATAACATTTACTTTTGAATGAGAAAATCTTGAACAAAGAGATCAAATTATTTAATTCAGGACATCAAAGAACTAGCCAATTCAAAGTGCATTTTTATTTTTCCGACTTTGATTTAATTATGTGGGAGAACTGAAAATTTATGTAACTCACTGATAAGCTTCAGACTTATTTCACTAACCAGAAATGAAACAAAATGTATAAATTCAACAGCAACATTTGTACAAACAACGTAAGTGAATGTATGTATTTATGTGCAATATTTTTAAATAGCTTCCTGTAAATGTTCCTCACAAAAGTATTCTATACTTTAATTAAAGTATAATTAATTTTTATCTGTAAGATAAAAATATATGGCATATTTATGAATAGGGAATTTTGGGCCACTAAGTAAAAGATAGTAGTTCATGAAAAGACATACCAACGTTTAACTATTATGGTCCTTCTTCAAAAACACAGAACTAGAATACATATATGCAGGTAAAATTTTGGTATAAAATGTATATTTACTATATTTTTATGCAAATAATGCATGCCTTCTACGTTGTTTGCCACCTGTGCCCTCCCCCCAAGGTATTTTCATAAGCACTGCTATGCCAATTTTTTTTAGATAGCAAATTATTTTACATGTTGCTGTAAAAAAAAAAAAAAATTGGCATAGTGGCACTTATGAAAATACCTTGAGGGGGAGGGCACAGTTAGCAAACGTAGAAAGCATGCTTTCTTTGCATAAAAATACTGTGATGATTTGGAATCCAATTATTCTGAATTGATACTATACATGCAAGTAAGAGAATAAAGCTATCAATACCATTCACATGAGTGATAGAAAATGTTTAAATGCTAGAACTAATTCATAAGCTGAAGTTGATTTTTTTAAATGCTCCCTAGCACTGGAATAGTTTCAAAGATAGGGGAAATTCATTGTAATCCTCGTGAGGCAAAGTTTGGTCGAAGACAATTCCTAAGTATGCAGCCCTAAACTAGATTTAATAGGAAAATTCCATGGCATATGGAAATTGGTATATAGCTTGGAGACTCTATTCCTTGTTATTCAATTTTAACTAAGCATCAATTTAGAGCAATAATTTGGTATGCAGATTAAATAAGAATGTATTTATCTGAGAAATATAGGACATTAATTTCTTAATTTATAACCTTGTAAGGTTAAATGGTTGGCTTAAGCATAATTATTTTACATGTGTGCATTTGTAACTTTGTTCTGAAATAAATTTATGTCCTAGGATGAGGATACACACACACACACAGTCCCTCCTTCTCTCCCTCTCCCAAGCATATTCTAGTTGTACATTTTTAAAATTATGCTTATCAGTATAATCTATGTTATAGTTTATTATTTATACTCAATATTTTTTGCTGAACCCCTTTTGTTAAACATAAAATTCTCATACCTTCCACTAACATGATTCAAAATTTCATATGAAGTACATAAGAATAAAATAAATCAAAATGAAAGTAATTGAATAAACTTTTTCTTTCCCTTAAAAAAGGAATTATAAAAACTTAAAAGAATTGCTTTGTTTTTGTTTTCCACATATACTTAATTACAAATTGTTACTACGGGAATGATAGCAACACTCACTTTGAAAAACAAGCAACAATAAACAATAAAATAACTTTTACACTGGTACTTTGAGAAGTTATAGAAACTAGATTTTTTAAACCACATTAAAACAAAAAGAGTAATAAAATAGCCTTTTTATACTAAGATATTGGTCCTTCTGCAGATATGCAGCTGTTGTAGAAATCATTAACATTATTAAATATCTACACTCTTTTTATATTGCTTCCCTGAGATAGAAGAGCAAATTAGTTTGAGATATAAAAGGATATCATAATTCACTTTTGACACTACGGTGGTATAGTTGAGGGAAAAGAAGAGGGGGGGAGAAATTAGAGCCCTAAAAATCGCAAACCCAATACGCTTTGTGATGATAATAATTTTGAAAATTATCTCAATTCTCTTCTTCACAGAGTGTGCACGTAGATGGAGCTTGTAATGTAGACCACAGCGCCACAACTTTTGTGACAGCTATGTTTAGCCTGGTTTGGAGCACTATCAAAGAAAGGGTATTAGACCTTTCAAAAGTCTCTCCAATCTCTGAACATGTATTTCCTTTCTGTCTCTGCATTTTTGGAGTCATTCCAATGTCTGGAATAAGAACGAGAGAGCGTGAAAGACAGAGCAAGCAGTGGGGGATGTCATACCTAACACATAAATACTAATTTTAGCTTAAGAATTCAGGAACTTCTAAAAATAGCCATAGACGCTTCTATCCTCATGAAAGCTTATTCTCCAATTTTTATTTTTATTTAAACCATCCTTAGTGAAGCAACATACTGCACTGCTTTCCCTAATAAGACCCCACAACTCAAAAGACATAAAATATTGATAGACCTTGCCTAAATGTAGATACACATAAGTTTAATAAAGCTGGAATAAAATAAGCAAACCAAAATTTTGCCAGGATCATTTGTACTTCCAAACCAAGGTTAGTATAAGGTAAAATAAAGCAATATCTTTTGTTTTCTCAATTCATAAAAAAAAAAACTGATAGTTAATGGTATTATTAATTTACCGTGAGAAATGTAGAACTTGAAATTCCACTGACGAAAATAGGTGTAACACTGGTAGTTATCTTCTTTACTCTAAATGTCACAATAGATGTGGTTATAAGATTCAATATTGTATAGTTCTGGATAAAATTATATTTTTACCTTTTATCTTCCATTTTGCATTGTTACTCCTTAAATATCTTCAGCTTAGCTAGTTATTTATAAATTTAATTAAAATAACTAACATTCACAAAAAAGAATATTGCTTTCTGACAGTTTTATAATTTCTAGGGAAACCAGAATTCTGCTTTTTGGAAGAAGATGCTGGAATTTGCCGAGGTTATATTACTAGATATTTTTATAATAATCAGTCAAAACAGTGTGAACGTTTCAAGTATGGTGGGTGCCTGGGCAATCTAAACAACTTTGAATCATTGGAAGAATGCAAAAACACCTGTGAAGATTCAGGTAAGTTTATTTCTCATCTCATTTACTTCAGTTTTAGACATTCTTTTAAAAATAAGGTATTTTAGAGCATGGTCAAGTTTACCAAGGTTTTGTTTCAACCATGCAAAGATACATCTGTACTTACTAGATCTGAAATAAATTTACCCCCAAAGACCAAGAAAACACATAGAAAATTTTCAAAATTTAATTATACTGAAAATTTTTGCCATTTTTTTTCACTTTGTTATTTAATTTTCCTTTCTAAGAATTATTGCTGTGTAGTTTAGGCACAAAAGTAGGTCCACTGAAATCCTTTAGACTTATAACAATGTGAGAGTAAATGTTATTTGGAATCCACCTCCTAAATTAAAGCAATCGGTTTTATCTGCACATAAAATTTACTAAAGAGGATGATGTAAACTTTAACCGTTATGTTTTCATCAAGAACTACAAAGTTACTCATAGAAATACGACCTTCCCTCTAACATTTAAAATGACACACACACACGTAAATACACATATATGTATATATATTTGCTAATCTAACATAGCAGTGAGTATAAATTTAAGATAGCAGTGAGTATAAAATTGCTAAGCATCTACTTTTCTTAACACAACTATCGTACTTTGCTTCATATGTACGGATAAGAGATTGTGACTGTGTTCTTCTATTTTAATTGACTGTACTATTTTTTTCAGTGAGCAATTTCCAGGTAGATGATTTTAGAATCGAGTTAGATGCTGTAAATAACTCTTTGACTCCCCGACCTACCAAGGTTCCCAGGATTTTGGGTAAGAATCTTACTTTTCATAGCTGACAATAAAATATTAGCACAGTACCAATAGATGGAAACCTATATGAGAGGTATTTTTTTAAATTTATATTTGTGCTGTTATTTAATAATGGGTGTTTTGAAATACAGAGACTCAAAGTGTTCCAGACATTTACTCCCATAAAAGTGATAATTTTTCTAATCTATTTTCAAGTATGATTTAAAAGAGCCCTTTGATTACATATCACATGAAACTCCTTCATATGATATTTAATTTTATGCCAATTTATCTTATAAAGCGTTGCTAGGAATTGTCAGCCTCAATGTATGATGGTAACTCATTATCATGGCAGCAGTGTGTCAAAGGCAGTCTATGGTGCTTTTAAACTGAGCACTCATCAGGCAAGGTCTCTGGTGTTAGTCCTGGGGCAGATTAGGAATTGGTTGAATAATCATACCCAAAGCGTATGTCACTTTTGAAGGAGGTTTCTACTGGAATTCTGCAGGACTCTTATCTGGGTTCTCTCGTGTGTGTGTGTATGTGCGTGTGTGTGCGCGCACGTGCACGCATGCGTGTGTAACACCAGATTTAAACAAACATACAGGAGGTATGGAGCCCTCATGGCAAAGTGGTTAAAAGCTCAGCTGTTAACCAAAAGGTCGGCAGTTTGAATCCACCAGCCACTCCTTGCATACCCTGTGGGGCAGTTCTACTCTGTCCTACAGGGTCACCATGAGTCAGAATCAACTTGACACCAATGGGTTTAGGTTTGGTTATAAGAGGTATGATCACAAAAATGCAGATTGAAAATACTGGAAAACATAATCAGAAACCATAAATACCTGGGCCACTGGAAACAATCTAAAAAGTTAAAATTTAACAGGATAAATGTAAGGTCCTACCTGGATTTAAAAAATATGTGCTCATGCAGACACTGGGATTTTCCTTAGAAGAAGTCGGTGTGAAAAGTGTCAACTGTAAACTTGGCTTGAGTTTAAAGAGTGCCATGGCTATTGAAATTGAAAACTTAGGATAAAAAGGAATAGTGTCAGGACCAGGAGTTCTCTGCCCTGGCCATGAACCAGAATTAGATGGGATTCAAAATCATAATGTCCTTAAGCATCTCTCTTTACCACAAACAAATAGGCAAGCACAAAGCAACAATGACTTTGCCTGGATGGACCTGAAGGACTGTAAATGTTGACTGTGACCTATCTAGAATGAGGATGTGAATGTCCAGCTTAGTCCTAACTGATCTGACCATGTCAGTGCACTTGATTTAGCACAGAGTACCACATCTTGGAAGCCACAGAGAGAACTGGAAATGTGTTTACAGAAGGAAAGGAAAGTGCAAGGAGACCTGAGATCTAAGAGGGAACATCTTATCTGCTCGCAGTATTTGAAACACTATCATGTGAACAAAGCATTAAGTTCTGTAACCTGTCTCACCCTTCAGGCCTCCTCCCCACCCCTATTCCAGTCCACATATCATCAACCTTCCCAACTCCTATTAGCCCAGTCTAAGCATCAGGATTAATGAGTGAAATCTAAGCATCAGGTTTAATGAGTGAAATCTGAAGGATACATTTCTCTTTGAAAAATGTTTTTTGTTTAATTTGAGATCTTCAAGTCACAAAAGGATGTCTCAGGGATTAGCAAGTTCTCTATATTGCAGACATTCAAGTGGTATTCTAAGAGCACCTGAAATGTCATAAAGGGGATGCAAACTTATAGTGGGAGTTGGACAATATGGTATATTCAAAACACCTTCAAGTCCTTAGATTCTATTAGCACAATGAATTCAATGCCAGATGAATCTGAATCTAATGTTTAAACAATGTCTTGTTTGTAATAATGATAAGTATCTTTGTGGTTCTGATTTTTCATCTGTAAAACTAAGTTCATTGCATTTTTTCTTTTTAGTCCCTCAAGCTTTCAATGCTATTTGAAATGCCTTTCAACGACACTGTTTTATCCAGTGAAATCTCATGTTAAAAAGCATTTTGAATCTTATTGCTACGAAATACATGCATGTTTTGAAAGATAAACTTTTTGGGCAGATTTAAAGATACATGTGATACAGTAAATGACGAAAGCAATACATGGAAATCAATTTTCAATATGTTTCAATATGTTTTGTTTGGATTATTTTTCCCAACTCAAATGGAAATCTTTAGTCATCTATCAATAAAATGAGTAGAATAGGTTAGGGGAAGGTTTTACCTTTAAAGTTTTATGAAATACAAAAGTCATGATTTTTGGTAGGCATGGTACCAAGTTGGAAAGGGAGAAATCAAGAAAATAATGTTGAGAGAATATAGTATTAATAAGTTTTTAAATACTGTCTTTGTTCTTTCTAGATGTTTATCTAGATGCATATTGAAAACTACAGTAAATAAATGACTATAGAAGTAAATTATTAACTAAGAAAGCTGTAAAAATTGACAAGATGAATTTAAAAGAAAATAGTAAGGAGTTCATTTAAAAATAATAGATAGTTAAGGGATAATGCTTTCATAGAACTGCATTTAAAATTAGGACGAATGTCTCCTTTATTTATCTAGAAAACTGTCTTATTTTTGAGAGTGTATATTTGCCTCAAAAATCTACATTCCTCTAACCAATTTTACTTTTTCCTCTTTTCCTAGGAACACTTGTTTTTATTTTGTTTTGTAACCTTGCTAATTTAAAACATGTAACACTATTATAGTAACTGCTATGAGACATTTGGTACTAATGGTGGCTTTAGCATGCAGAGAGTGGCAATTTTTTTTTTTAAATCACATACATGTTAGTACATGACATGCCAAAAAAGTAAACATGAACTAGTACTGGCTCAGGCAAACCAGGCTGTATAGACAGAAGAGGGAGAGAGGGAAAGAGAGAGAGACAAAGACAGACATGTCACAGATATACATGTATAACTATATACATATATTATATCTATTTATCTATCTATATGTATGTGTTACATCTAGTATATGCATATATAAGGTTAGATATCAGACATAACTAAAACACACAATCATATATAAAATGACTAAATTATTAGCTTTTTGATATCACTATATATCCATTATGTTCGAATCAGGTCATCTTTAATCACACAGATTTACATTTCTTCCCTTCATTATGAAATGTTAAAAAAAGAGACTTAATGGATGCATTCTTACTGTGTAAATTTCATCTCATTCACTTAGCTTAAATTTGTCTACATTTTCTGTTACTCTTCATCCAGATTATGTCATACCTACCCTTAAACATATTTTTCTATCCATTCAGACTACCCTCTTCATTGTCATTAAATAAAAATCATCCACCTTCATTCCCCATGATGTTTCATGTGATTTCTCCAACATAAAATTCATTCACCCTCCTCATCTTATCTTAGCTATCTGCCTTTTCACCATCATAAGGAAGACTTCCTCCTTTCTCTTTCCCCTTGGTTCCCTATTGTGACTAATTTAAGCTTTATTTAAAGTTATCTTAGCTTTGCCTCACTTACTAGATTACAAACTCTTGGAAGGAGGATATTTTATAGACTACATCATTCCCTCAAATTAGCCCAGTGATAAGCACGTGACAGATGACTCACAATTTTTATTTATTAATTTTGTGATCCACAGTTACAAAAGAAAGAACAAATGATGGTCGGAGGAATGCTGATCATACTTACCAAGTCTTTCTGAACGTCTTCTGCATTTGTTCATCAATGCTCATTTTAGGATTGAGTAGAATTCTATGCATATACTAATAATTGTGTTTTGGTATTTCTTTGGTATTTATATGGTATATGTGATGCATTTGATAGCCATATCATTAATAAAGTTTGAATAGTTACTTACATACAGTGAATATATTTATTTCAATGCATCTTTCAGTTAAATGCCTAACTAGCAAAGAAAAACTAATCTTCTCAAGTGTTTATACTGGTTCTCGGTCTTTTGAGTGGATCTGAACCATTCGTGTGAAAAATGAGTTATCTTCCTTGTTCTCATAGCTCCCTTTGCATCTGTACATCAACTCCTGACAGCTGCCTTGGGACTACATCACCTTTATGATATTTTGGAAAAAAAAAAAATCTTCGGGTAGACTTCAAAAACCTACTGCCAATCCAATCTAGAACTTGCCTTCTGGCTGAGAAAAGGAACATTTACATAGCCACCGCACCTCAGATTCCTCCTGCCAAACTCCATGTCAAAGGCAAAGGAAAGGATATCATCCTGAAGACCATTTAGCTAGTTGAATCTCTCTCTCGACTGTATTCAGTGTATGACCTAGTGCCAGATTCTACATATATATGAAAACTGAGAAGAAAATAATTTTTCTTAGTTTTTGGTTATCATTGGCTTCCTGGAAGAGGTATTTTGCTCACAGATGACCTGATCAACAGCCCAACACTATCACTGGTTGAGCCAATTTCAGATTTTCAAGAAAATGTTTTCTCCTATTTGGCCTTTTGTTGAAGGTATAATTACATATAGAGGAATACCACAACTGGAAAGAAAATATTCTCCTGTCAACTAAAAGAGATACATTCACAGCTGCATATCACAGTTTAATCACTAGCACTATCAACAATCCTGAAGAACCTCACTTCATCCACAATCCACTTCCATAGTCCCAGAGAAGTGTCCTGCCTCTTATAATGTGTTCTCAGGCCAAGAAGCATAGAAACTTCCTTCATAATCCAAATATACCTGCATGGTAGACCTCGTGCCTCATGTGCTGGCACTCTGGCAAGCTGGCTTTCCAAAAACAGATAACAACTTATGGAGAGGATCTATCAGGCCACCTACTTCCTGGCAGGAACCCTGGTGAGAAAGAAAAATGTGGCACTTCATCTCTGCCAAGAGTTCTGTCATCCAAATGCAGTCACCCTAGGTGACCACTGCTTACTTTTGCTAATCCCTTTCTTCCTGGATCATCTTCGGGCCTTAACAAAGCTAAATTTTTGTCCCAGGCATAAGAGTTCTCCAAAACAGTGTTTCTCAGACATGAATAATATATAGACATTTTAAAGGGAAAAAATTACAGACTTCCAATTAGTAAATCAAACTATTTAAAATGGCATTATTTTTATATGAATAAGAAAAATAGGTATAAACTCCTTACACTTGTGACAATCACACAATCATAAACCAAGACAAATTTACAAATACAAACAATACTATGAACTAATAAATTAACAATACTATTTTGCTACTACATGAGTGTTTTGCTAAAAAAAAAAATCCTATTGTAATATGAATCTGGTTTTGAGTGCTATAGGGCATGTTAAGAGCGAGTTGAGAATAGGTTAGAAATGCCTGTGCTATCCTATGTTGTGTGAAATTCTTCAACTACTTTTTTTCTATTTAACTACTGCAAAATTTTTGAAGGACTGTATTTGAGAAGCATTGAAGTAAAATGTGTTGGCTCTGAGAATCCCAGCTTCACCTCTTCTAGGAAACACATCTATATGGTGTTTCTTGTTTTCTATCAGATCCAAACGTTATTAAATGGATCTGACTGACTGTGCAAATATGATCATGGAATGCATAAAGGCCTGGGACTTTTGCCTGTCATTTCTATAATCAGTTCAGGTTAAGGGTGCCAAACATAATAATCCTTGCCTTCAAATGCTGTCTCTCTGAATACTGTTTGGCTCAGCACTGTTGTTCCCAAGACTTGTTTCCAGGCTCTTTGTTTGGCGCACCACTTTGATTATATATCTTTCTCTTGTTCAGACTGGATAAATTCCAACTTCATGCAGGGGGAATCTGGGGTGTGTTGGCTATGTAAGTGTTCCTTTTCTATGTCTTCCAATTATTTTTTAGGTAGTTGAAAGCACTGGATTCATGGACAAACACATGAGGGTTTCATTTCCGTAAGCTGGCCAAAGTCTCACCACCCTTGCTTCTAAGGAGCTTTCTGGGCACCACTGATTTCGACACCATTGTAGGAGTATACATTTACACAATCTTTTAGTGCAAAATTCATCAGCATCTACCAGTTTATAAACTGAATATACCTCTTAGAAAATTCTAATTTTAGAAATATCTGAACTTGTATACAATGATGTTAATGAGCCACTGTCTGGAATTAAACAATTGCAATTATCTAAATATCCAAAACAAGGGATTGACTAAATATTCCAGCCAGTTCATGCAATAAAATGCTGTACATACATTAAAAAGAATAAGTTATATATCTACATGAACAAATGTGGAAACAAATCATAAAAGATATTACCAAGTATAGTGATATGCAAATAATGTGCTAATATATGTTCGCATATGCAAACAATTTTGGGAAAGAAATACAGCAAACCATCGATAATGCTTAAAAGGGTAGGGGTCAAATTATGAAGAACTTTTGTTCTATATTTGTTATACTTTTATATTATTTCAAAATTTGACTATAATGTATTTTAAATTTTAAAATGTATATTTCTCTTTGCTAAAAAAGCACGGGAAAAAAGAATTATTTTATATTTAATTCCCAAAAAAAAAGATCTAACAAGGCAAGAAAAAATAATTTACTCAGCAAATGAAGACGTGGTTCAGAAAACCCAATTTGGTTGGTAAAATGAACATCTAAATAGGCATGTAAGGTGAGAATTATAAGGAAGACACCACAGTAAAAATTCAAAGTGAGTATAAGATTCAGAGTTTACGTGTATAAGTTTCAAAGTAAATTCACATAAACTACTTTATGTGTAGAGGTGACTTTGGAGCTCCATCTTACAGTTTAACAGCAATAGTAGGTCACAGCAGTTCCTGACAGAAAAAAGGCGGATCCTGAGTTCTGAAACCTATCATAAACCCTCTAGATTGAAGCTATCCAACTTGTATTAATGACAAGATCAAGACAGGATGCATTTGATCATTAAATTCCCTTTGGAAAATGAACAAAATTCAGGTTAGTGTCTTTTTATTCTATCTTAAGTTTCTGTGAATAATTATAATCTAGACAAAAGGAATAACATTGTACAACTAGCCTTTATATTTTCTTTCATTGTAGATGTCAAAGTCTGGATTTTGAACAGGTGAGTGCCTATGTTTATCTAGAATAAATTTGTTATTTAAAAACAAACTGATGTCCTCACAGGGTACAAAAAAAATTCAATGTCTTCACTTTTGGAGATCGAACTAAATGACAATTAAGAATTCAAAAATGCCTTTGTGCTAAAAGATCCTCGAGAAACCATCATTTCTTTAATTCTACTGTGATTTGTGCTATTAAAACCAGTGATAGTCTTGCTGCTCAGAGTTTTGATGGCTTTAGGAGAAATGGTTAGTTAACATATCAGGTACAATTCATGTTCTGAAGTGTAATGGCCTTATAAAGAGTCCCCAACTGATGATAGCTTTTTACATTTTTTAAAACTTCCAAAATTTAAACACATGATACAATATCCTTAGTGATACACTTCAAATTTTAACCCACTATCAAAATATTTTTATTTCTAGTGTTAGGAGCCTCACTAGAGATCTGGGTCCAAGTTGTGTTCGATAATCTATGCAGGCATTAATTGAAATCAGGGCAAACAAAGTGAGATAAACAGGCACTCTCTGAGAAGGACCAAGTATCTGGTAACAGGCAGTTCAGGTCTGTACACCAGTTCCCAGGCTGCCAGAGACAGCATGCCAGATCCCCTGTGGTTCAGAAGTCACAAACAGTCAATCTGATACCTTGGATAACTAGTAGTGAGATTTGCTCTGATTGTATCTGTGCTGGTTAATTGTCTGCTTGCCCGCAGATCTACCGTCTGCTCTCCGCCAGCCCTGTCAAGTGTTACAGCTTCTGAGTGGGTTTAGTTAGTGGCAAACACCGGCAAAAGATTCAATGGCAGAAGGAAGACTGAAGCTAAGATACATCTCTCCCACCAAGCCTGTGTTGTATCATCCATGGTTTCCACTCCCACTGGAGAGGCCCATTATGGTTCTAGCTTTCACCTAGTATTATAGGCTCCTGGTTTCTGGTAATACAGGCTCCTCCCAATGTACCTCTAACCTACAGACTATAGCTCCAGATGTACCAGGCTAGTGTGCCCTCACTTGAAATATCCTGAATTTTGTTAAGGGGCCACACTTACTACAGGTGGTGTTTTAGAGAAAAGAAGGATAGGCTTGCTCGCCATAATCAGAAAACTCTCTTCCTGAAACAGGGGCTTGAGGTAGGGCATTGCTAAGACATAATAACTAACATATGTAAAGAAGTGTGCCATTTACAAGTGAATTCACATATATTATCTGCTACTTGCTGTGGGCTAATACATTTTGTATACAAAAAGTGAAATTGATATATAAGTCATATGATTTCATCATACTCTCATATATACTATAAGGCATTTGTGGATGCTTATTGAGAGAAAAAAAAGAAAAACAATTCCTGTATTTTCTCTGCTTCTTGTATCAGGCTAACTGCATTTGCTTTATTCCTTTTGGTTCTGAACATACACCTATGACTTTGGAAGCTAATGGAGATAGAGGCAGGAGCAGTTGATAACCATCTCATACTCTAGACTGTGGATTGATGAGAATCCACACAACACACCTTGGAAAATTTTGCACCATAGTAGGGCTTGATTACAACACACCTCCTTGAACTACTAGGAAATTCTTCTTTTATAAACCACTTTTAGTAACAGGGGTTTTAACATTTTCTGGAAAGCTCAACAACATTCTTCATCATATGCATATTAATTCTGATGTATAATGATATATAATTGTACACTATATCACTGCTGTCCAGTCGATTTTGACTCAAAGCTTCCTCATAGGTTTCCAAGGCTATAAATCTCTATGGAAGCCGACTACCACATCATTCTCCCACAGAGCTGCTGGTGGTTTTGAACTGCCAACCTTTCGGTTAGCAGACGAGTGTCTTAACCACTGCGCCAGCAGAGTTCCTTAATTGTACACTATAATCCCCACATAAAATGAGGTAAAATAAATAAGACTGCAGGATTCTGAACAATAGTTGTTTTACAGAACCTATTAGTTTCCTTTCACATCCCAGTGTTTACAGACCTATTCAAAGTCCTAAATAAAATTTAATATTCTTTTCATGATTACAGCTCATGTAATCCAAGAATTCAAGAATATTAACTTTCTAAAATATATATCCTTGCCATAGTGTTTTCTACCTATCTTATATTTTCCAGAATTTTTTTTCTGTAGTACATGAACTATCATATTAAGACATTTTAAAGTTTATTTAAATATTTTGAAGGTAGGAAGTGGTAAAAAAAAAAAAAAATGTATATAATTTAAGAATTGGGTTTTTTTTCTAAAATTGTTTCTTTTTTTCTTTTATTTTACAGCCTGCTCATCTGGGGTTCACTTGCTACCAGACCACCTCTTGCTTTCTGTACAACTTGTTTGTCTTCTTTGGCTACTGGATTCCTCCAAGTTCTATTTTCCTCCAGTGTTGAAAATCTAGCTCCTTCTTCGCCTGCATTTGCTGTGCCACATCTTACCATTTGGCAAAGTCACTAAAGTTTTCTGACATTGATTCCTCACCGTTTCACTACTTAACCTCTGCAGTGTCAGCTTATTAATATCAAGTAATTTAGCTGTGCTACTGAAGATACAAGCTTCCCCTCACTGACAGGAATTTGCAAAGAAACTAAAAGCTATCATGAGACTGAAACCATTTCTCCGCTTTGCCTTTAGGGAATGAATGTTTCTTTTTACTCTTGTTGCATTTTTTGTCTTTGAAAGTGGTTGGTTCCATTGGCAGAACAAGTTGTTTTTATTTGAATGGCGTTAGCAACATTGCTATCTTTTCAAAAACATCTAACTCACCTAGAACTGGTGCTTCATTTCACAAGAAAAAAAAATTACTACTATGTCAAACAATATGTTCTGGGCTCCTCCCCGAAGCCTAAAGTTACAACTTGCTACACATGAATTTCTGCATTTTACACTGTAATCATAATATACCATTCAGAACATTTTTCAGTCAATAGAAGAAAGTCTTCCTCAGTTTCGGTGTTTGTGAATAAGGACTTTGCTTATCAGGACTTTTTCCCCCAAAGATGAACTCTTCATGAACAAGTGATATGTATACCTTCATAGTTTAAAAAGAAAAATGGTTACAAATGTTAAAAAGCTTAATTGTTGTATGGTGGTTGTTTTTATTGCATATAACTAATTTATTTATATTGAAAGTAATCATAACACTTTCCTTTAGTACATTTATCTATTTTTTATTCATTGGTAAAAGAACTCAGTATAGTGTGCACTGGGAGATTGGTTAATTATTTTCTTAGAATTGAAATACATGAATTTTATTAAGTACTGCTCCTATTTATTCAGATTACTATTTTACATAGACATGCCAGAAAACTAAGCTATCAACAATATATAACATGAAAGCCACAGAATCACATCATATATGGCTTACCATGTTCTCTTGATGTTCTTAGGATTTCACGGCCCCTCATGGTGTCTGACCCCAGCAGACAGAGGATTGTGTCAAGCCAATGAGAGCAGATTCTACTACAATTCAAACACTGGGAAATGCCACCCATTTAAGTACAGTGGATGTGGAGGGAATGAAAACAATTTTACTTCTAAGTTAGGCTGTATTACAACATGTAAAAAAGGTATAGAAGATATTCTTTCCATTAACTTACTAGTTTTAGAATGAGTTTTTTGAAATTATAAATGGATCTAATCTATTAAAATATCATGAAATTAGTTCTTTTATTATAAGAAACAAAGTATTATGATTTAGCTAATAAATGTCTCCTTTTCTATTACATTTTTATAATAATGCTAGATATATTAATTGCAATTCCTCCTTATGTGTTTTCAGAAAAAAACTATTTTACAAAAATCAAATATTTCACTCTTTTAATATTTAAATACTAAGCATTCATTTTAAATCTTTATACCAAAATATTTTTAAGTTTGCTTATAATGAACAAAAATTTTAACGTTTTTTAATTTTCTTCTGAATATAAAAGACATACATGTTTATAGTAGAATAGAAAGAGTATGAAAATGTAAATAAAAATAATCTATAGCACTACCAACCACATACAGCCATATTTTCTTTTTTTTAAATGAGTATGAAGTTCTAACTGAAGATAAACTAATAATAAAAGTCAAAGTCAACAGTATTCTTATCCATTTTTTGCTAACACCTATATATGCAAAATTACTTCCTTAGAAATAGAATGTTCTACACAAAGGCATGGACAAATTAAAAACTTTTAAGCCAATCACATCTTTTGGTTTCAAATGTTAGAAGATAATTTCAGAAAAATTTAGAAAAAATGTGTTATTGTATTACTTTATCATGCATGCATTTGTTGCTCTTCCTCTTGTAGGTTTCATCCAAAGAAAATCAAAAGGAGGAGCAATTAAAATCAAAAGAAAAAGAAAGAAGCCACAAGTGAAGACAGTATATAAAGAAATGTTTGTTAAAAAGATATAAATTTGTTAAACATTATTAGAAAATTAACTCTACTAAATATTTTTAATGAAGCTTAACACTACTAAATATTTTTCATGAAGCTTAACACTGATTTTTTTTCTTTCCTGTAACCCTTTTAATGAATATTTTCAGAAAGTAATTTTCTCTGCAAATTGTACTTGATATTAATACATTTATATCAGAGTTCCCTTTTCT